TCCTCTGATTCTAGTGAAAAAGAAAGATGGGAGTTGGCATTTTTACGTGGACTATCGTGCTCTCAATAACATCACTGTTCCTAACAAATTCCCAATCCCAGTCATTGAGGAGCTTTTGGATGAGTTAGGAGGGGCAGCCATCTTTTCCAAATTGGACTTAAAATCCGGCTACCATCAGATACGTATAAGACCAGAGGATATTCCCAAAACTGCGTTCCGGACACATGAGGGGCACTACGAGTATGTAGTAATGCCCTTCGGCCTAACCAATGCTCCTTCAACCTTCCAAGCATTGATGAATCAGGTTTTTAAGTTGTATTTACGCAAATTTGTGTTAGTGTTTTTTTATGACATTCTAGTTTATAGTGCAGATTATGCCTCGCACATTGGTCATTTGCGCTTGGTTCTTCAACAACTGAGAAGTCAGGAATTGTGGGTTAATGGTAAGAAGTGCAGCTTTGGAGAATCCCAGTTAGAATATCTGGGGCATGTAATCTCCTCCACTGGAATCTCTGCTGATCCCGCCAAGGTCTCTGCCATGACTCAGTGGCCTGAACCTAAAGACATTCGAAGTTTGAGGGGCTTTTTGGGCCTAACGGGGTACTATCGCCGATTCGTACGCAACTATGGAATTATTGCAAGACCCCTAACACAATTACTAAAGAAAAACAGTTTCAAATGGTCAGGGGAAGCACAAGCGGCGTTTGAAAAGCTCAAAAGGGAAATAGAGGTGTTGCCTACCTTAGCAATGCCGAATTTTGAATTACCATTTGTGGTTGAAACGGATGCCTCATGACATGGTTTAGGTGCAGTCCTAATGCAACAAGGCTGACCCTTAGCCTTTATTAGTCAAGCTCTATCGGACCGAAACAAGGTGAAATCGGTGTATGAACAAGAATTAATGGCAATTGTGTTTGCTTTCCAAAAGTGGCGGCAATACTTGTTGGGTCATCGCTTCATTATTCGGACCGATCAAAAGAGTCTCAAGTTTTTATTGGAGCAACGTGTGTTGGTGGGAGAGCAGCTGAAATGGGTGGCCAAATTAATGGGCTTTGACTTCGAAATTCAGTACAAACCGGGGCTGGAGAACAAGGCAGCTGATGCGTTGTCCCGAGTCATGACTTGTAAAGCCATATCCATGATAACCAACTCTGATTTAGCAGAATTGGCTGAGGAAGTTCTGAGAGATGAGCAATTAAGGGAAATCATGCAGCAGATAGTGACAAATCCTATTTCCCATCCTCATTATTTTGTCTCGTTAGGGTGTTTATGGTATAAGCAAAGGCTGGTTCTGCCTAAGAATTCTACCCGAATCCCACTGTTGTTGTTAGAATTCCATGCTTCTCCCTAGGGTGGTCATTCGGGAGTAACAAGGACCTATAAGCGGTTAGCTATGATATTCTATTGGGCTGGGATGAAACAAGATGTAGAAAGGTTTGTAGCTGAATGTCAAGTGTGCCAAAAGAATAAGCATGAGACGCTAAAGCCAGCAGGGCTCCTACAACCTCTGCCAATTCTAGAGCATGTATGGGAAGACATTACAATGGATTTTATTGGGGGATTACCCAAGACCAGGACAGCAGACAACATCATGGTGGTAGTGGACAGGTTGAGCAAATATGCTCATTTCATTCCTTTACTTCATCCCTATTCCTCTAAGGACGTAGCTGCTGTGTTTGTGAGGGAGTTTGTGCGTTTACATGGATTCCCCAGCTCCATTGTGTCTGACAGGGACAGAATTTTTATTAGTTCATTTTGGAAGGAGCTTTTTTGTCTCTCAGGAACAAGGCTAAAACTCAGCTCCGCATACCATCCCCAAACGGATGGCCAAACCGAAGTGACAAATCGCACCATTGAGGCTTACTTGAGGTGTTTTGTTAATGATCACCCCGGTCAATGGGTGAAGTGGCTACCATGGGGGGAGTTTTGGTTTAATTCCTCTTTCAATGCATCCATCAAAATGACCCCCTTTAAAGCACTATATGGGCGGGACCCTCCTCTGATTATTCCCTACTACAAAGATAGTACAATTGTGGCTGAAGTAGACCATTTACTACAAAACCGGGACAGTATCATAGACAAGCTCAAACAACACTTAATTAATGCTCAGCTGAGGATGAAGGAGCAGGCTGATAGGGGACGCCGAGAGGTGGAATTTCAGATTGGGGATATGGTTTATCTGAAGGCTCGTCTTTACAAATTAAAGACATTGGCCAAAAAGATCAATGAGAAGCTAAGTCCAAGGTTTTATGGTCCATTTCGAGTGGAAGAAAGAATAGGAGCTGTTGCCTACAGATTGTTGCTGCCAGAATCAGCGCCTCTGCACCCCATTTTTCATGTGTCACAGCTCAAGAAGGCCCCTCCTACTAGTCAAGCTAGCCAAGCTTTGCCACCGTTTTTGACTGAGGAGCTGGAACTGCAAGTGGAGCCAGAAGAGGTGCTGGACGCACGCAAATTGTTGAATGGACACTGGGAAGTCCTAATTAAATGGAGGAGTTTACCTAAGGAAGAAAGCACTTGGGAGGAGGTTGATATGCTTCAAGCTGTATTTCCCCATTTCAACCTTGAGGACAAGGTTTGCCTTGATGGAGGGGGTATTGTTGGGTCTAGGCCAATTGGGCCTCCACTCAAGACATATCAAAGGAGAAAGGGTAAAATGGGAAGGGTGGATCAAGAAGCCGTTATGCGAGATTCTAACTGACCAACAAAATTAGCATAGGTGGCAAGGGAGGTGCGGGGGGGAAATATAAGGAGAATGAATAGATGACAAAAGGGAGGATTTGGCTGGGAGGTCATTTGGTGGTGGTTAATGCAGTAGGAGGGTCTTTAGTTAATTGTTGTATTCTGTTTTCCATTGTTATAGTTCCTTGACTCTGTTTTTCTATTATAGCAGTTGTAATTCCAGGGATACTCCCTGTGTGAGCCCTTTAATTTCAATCGAATACTCAGTTCCTAACAGCATCTTTTCTTGCATTTCTTCATCCGATAATCTTAAATGCAGCACCCCTATTTTGAGTTCCCCCCATGTTGTTACTGCCTCTGCTGCTGAAAGTTTTAGATCTCCCCCTTTTCTTTTAGTACTAGCAACTACTAAGGTTGGGTACTATTGAGAGAAAACAAGAAGGCATGAGAGGAATTCTGTGTGTCTCTACTACACCATGGGATGTATATTTATATTAATAAAGAGAATCATAATCATAGCTGCAAAATTAAGGACAAATATACAGTTATCTAATTCCTATAATTATATGAATACTATTTTTCTAAATAATATATTTAAATATATATTTAATAGATACTACTTCCCTAAATAATATATTTACATATATTTAACCAGTACCCTACTTCTCTAGAATAACTTCTAGTTGCAGAAAAAGGTCTGCACAGGCTAGGAGGTCTGCTTCTTGTTTGCGTCCCTATTTTCTTTCACCATTTGAGCCTTTGTCATCAAATCTGTCAAGTTGTTTGGTTCATGTAGTTTCACCTCTACCTTAATGTCATCTTTTAATCCATTCAAAAATATCCCCACCAAATAATTGTGTTCCATCCCTTTCAAGAACCCTATATTAACTCAAAATTGTTCAATATATTCCTCCAGTGCCCCTTTGTGTCAGCCTGAGCAGAATTTCGAGTGGGCTTTTTTTTATATTAGGTTGGAACCATAATAGTCCATCACAAATAGTGGGGCAGAGTGGCCGACTCCAAAAATGCTATAGTGAGATAGTGGGATGACTGCTATTTTAGGTTTTTTAAATAGCGTCTGCGAAGGTTGTGATTCTCCCTATTTTTTGTTGTGATTTGTGGGCGTGACGACTGCTCCTCTGAAACACGATTGGGTCTCCATAGTGGCGCCCTGCTGCTCTGCCGCGATAGCGGCCACTATTACCTACTGTGGTTGGAATCACCTTACCCCAGCTACCTTGAATGATTCCCACATTGGATTAGGGTTGCAAGATTCCCACCATTGAAACCAATTCAGAACCTTTACCTCCAAGGCTACCATTATAGCTTGCATCTGGTCTTGCTCTGATACTCCCTTCAAATGGAAGTAACTCCCCAATCTGTTTGAGCCAACAAGAGCTGTGATCTTGTTGCTGTTGTCCATTCTCCGACCCCCTATTCAACTCAACATCATCCTTATCAACTTTGCCAACATTTTTTTTTGTCCTAGAGACAATCTCCCAACTAAATCAGTAAGGTTCTTGATCATGTCTTCCATTTGTTGGAAACACTCATGCTGTACATTTTCTTAATTCTCTCTTTCTCGATTTGCCTCCTTTACTGTTCTTTCCAATATCCAACCTTGATTCCATCCTTGTATTTACCATTGATGCTGCACCACAGTACTAAGATCGATGCTTTGGTACCAGTTGATAGGACTGGTATAGAATACAGAAAAATAGTTCTTGAAATTTTTTGGGAGAACCCTAATTCCCAAATCAATATCATGTAGATAGAGATTTGGAACTTAGGCAGAATCTGTACATTTAGTATTCCAGAGTTATTTGAGACAACTCCACTATCCTAACCTTTCCCAATTATCAATTACAAAAAACATATCCTACACTAATTTTGTCACATGCTATTTATATAGAAACTTCATACAAAAAATTACAAATTGTCTCTACAAAAAACATATCCTACCGCCTATTCCCTTCCATTTCTTCCTATGGTATACCTTTCTGAACCTATCATTGTCGCTATAACCTGATTGAATCACACCGCTTTAAATTGATTTAGTAGTTGTTTAAGTACTTAGTTTGGCCGCTTGTCCAATTAAGCAGCATGTTATTACGCAGGCTTAATTAATATAGCATAATCTTGTCGATTGGAGTGACTGCATGTTAAAACAAAATTTTATTGATATATATTGCTTGGTGTGAAATGCGTTCTTGCCTGTTTAATTAATTTTGAATTATGACGACAACGATTATTATTATTGTTTAGTATAACATGCCATTAGAACTTACTCCGGATTAATTAATGAGTTTATGCTGCAGGCACCTTACTACGATCCTAGGACTAATCTCCGGTATGCAAATGCTGATGTTTTCAAAATTATCCGATCACTTCCTAATGAGTATGTTCAAAGATACCTAGCTCTGAGGAATGCTGCAATCGTTCTTAAATAGTGCTGTCACTATCTCGACTTCTGAGACACCTTAATCTTTATGTTTTGTTCTATCAATTTTTGTATTAAATGTTTTAGGATGTGAAATAGATTTGCTCTTAGACCATTATTAGCTTGTGTAGTGCCACTCCCTGTGGCCAACTTGGTTGTGTCTGATTATTTGTTAATTACAGTACATGTTCTGATAAATAACATTGCATGAACAAAAATGAAGAATCCCATGCTATTTTGAGGAAAATTGAAACAACGTCACCTCAATTGCATGAATACTAGTCTCGCATCGCGTGCTTATCCGTTGGGGTGATGTCTAAGTTGGACTCTGCAAAATTTGGGTCTTTTATTGTCTCTTTTAACATGGACCGATGGATATAAAATTATAATTTATTGGCTGAGATGTTCGATTTTAACCTATGGAATCGGTAACAGTAACAATTTTGTCAAAATAATAAAATAATCCTTGTATAATAATTATTATTGCAAGAAGATCCCTATGAATCTCAATGCTCAAGTAATTTGAATTCTATCAGAAAGTAAGATTTTCGTAGACTAATGTTGAGATGGAAACTATAGTGACAGTAGATGTCTTTTTTGTTTTTTGGGTATGATGTCTGAATAGATCAAGCTGAAGCTTCTTACTCCCAAATCTCCTGCCACCAAAACATTGGATAAGTTATTGTTGATCGTAGAAGGAGAAAAAGAGTAAAGTAATGGAAATCATTTACATAAGTTAAAATCAACGTGGGTACTACATGTTTTGAAGTTGATTGAAAAATTTTATTATAAAAAGGAGTAGAAACTAATAGGAGAAGTTTGTAATTTTTATATTCTAATGTCATATAAGTAAGCAGGCAGTTTATATTCATAATCGTTAACATTTTAGCTTTTAATTATGTGTCTACACTTATTACAATTGTTATTAATTGTATAAACAAATCAATTCGCTTGGCAGAGCCAAGAGTTGCTAACAAAATCATGGAGGGAGTTCGGAGATTCATTGTGCCTGGGCCATCACCCTCAACGAACCTAGTAGAAACAACCTTTGGCAGAAATAGATGAACATTCTACAATTAAAGTTGGTCTTTATGAAAGTAAGGATTATGAAGAAAAGTATGTAACCTCCAAAAAAGTTGAGCTCCTTTTGCTCTTTTTGCCTCTAACTAAAAGTATTGTTTTTAACTCATTTAAACGAAGTGATAAATAGCAATAATTTTAAATTTAGGCCGATCATTAAACTGACGAAGGCATTCATAGTATATTAATTTAATTTTGGTTAAACTTAAGTCATATAAGTAAAAATAAAACATATTTTTTTAATATTATATAATACATTAAAAAATAAATGAGTATATAATTTTAAAAAGTTAGTTAAAATTTTAAAATAACATAAAATGATCATATTACATATTTTATGAGATCAAAAATCATAATAAATAGTTAATAATGATAATAATAAAATATATCAATATCATGTAAATTTATTTGTTTTACAACTATTTTATATTTTTTTAACAAAATAAAAAAAAATTGTATGTTGGCTGGTTCAAATTAGTTTTCTGTCCTGGTTCTTTTTTTAGTTTTGACCGATTTTTTGTTACTTTTTTACTAGTTTGATCTTTTATTGTTGACTAAATTCTATTTTGGTTTGTGGGATAGTAAGTGGCTAACAATTTAGTCCCTAAAATATTTAAAATATTATATTAGTTTGTAATTTCTATCTTTGTCAAACATTTTAGTCCTTAGACACATATTATCCATAGACAATAATAGAATGCTAATATTTCATATTAAGTGACATGTATCATTAATTGTGTGACAAAAAATGACGTTGTATTTAATATAATATATATTTTTATTTTATTTTAGTTCTTAAGATTAGCATCTATTAAGCATTTTAGCTCTTAGTCTTTACAATTTTCATTATCCATCATTCTACTTCATTCTTACTATTAGTGGAAACCACCATTTGTATTTTCTATTGGCACTTTTCCACGCTTCTCCCCCAAGATAATGTAGTTATTGATCCATGGTCGTACGGAGTCAAAATAATAAAAACTTAATTACTATAGCACGAGGCAAGCAATTAAAGTCGTCTCTCAAGTATCATCAAAGAAATTTATCAAATAAAAATTTAAACAGGAGAATTTAACAAAATCAATAGAGTAAAATTTAAAACGAGATGAGGTAATCAATTAATTAGATTAAAATTATGAACGCAATTAACTTGAAGAAAAAAATAGATTAAGAATTATCAATCCATAGAATCTCAAATGCATGTAATTCCAATTATCACGGTATCTAAAAATTTTAATCCAAATTTAAAAAATTACTGAATCTAATTATTAATTCAATCAAATAACCTAGTTGAACCAGATAACAAATTAAATCAAATTATCATTTAACCTAATTCAAATTTACTTATCAAATCAAAATATCAATTGAATCCTAATTTGAATTTTAGCCCATAGAAAAGTTAGTCATAATCACAATTTACAAATCTGAGATTGGAGAAAAAGAGAACAAACTCAAAACAATTAGTTCAAAACTCAAATCAAATTTACACCATTTAAATTTCGCAGATTGGATGAGAGGTTTATCCTTCCATCGGAACACTTAACCCAAGCGAAATTAGAGGACGATGTGAAAAATTGAGAGAAGGTAAAATAAGGATTCTTATTAAAAGGTAAATCTCAAAAACTCAAAATATCAAATTTTCACACCTATTTTTTCTTATTAGTTTATTTATAGGTTTTGATTAGGGTAAACTAAATGGCTAAAATTTGAACCTTAATTATATCTAAAAGCCCAAATACAAATATTTAATAAAAAAGATCCAAATGCAATCCTATATACAAGATTAAGCAAATCTGTCCCAACTTAAAAATTTCATAGAAAATAAAAAACAACCTCAAATCTAGTAATCCATATATGCATTTTGAAGCCCTGAATGTGTAAAATCCAATGCAACTAGAATCAGGCAAAAACAATATATGTAGAAAAAGTTATGGTCAAAAGAGTAGTTAGAGGTTAGAATAATTGAAAATATGAAATTAAAACATTTATTTATAATAAGCCCAATTTATTCAATAACTTAGGAATTGGTAAAAACTCTGAAAATAAAGCATATGAAAGTGTTTAGAAATAAAATAAAACTATAAATGTAAACATAAAATATGTTAGATCAGTTACCAATTAGGATCTTAGGCATGCATGTTAATGTTGGAAACTCCGAATGAAAAAACTTGAGTTTAGATAATCACCTCTAATGAGTTTAGGTGTAGGCCCAGATAGAGGGGAGAAAGAGGTGAGGGTGAAGGTGTTGGAGTTTTGGGATTTTCAAGGGCCGAAGTGTTTAGTAAAAACTCCCGAGAGGAGCACCTACAAAAGACCTTGGATTTTCTCTTCCTCTTCATTCTCATTCAACCATATAATCACAAGCTCTTTCAATTTTTCAAATTTGCCCACAAATTTTCTACATTATCAACACCATCTACCAATCAAACCTTAGAACCATGCTTTCATCCTTATCCTTCAATGCCGCCATAATCCCATTCTGCAACACCATAATTGAAACTCTCTTTGACACAATCTATGGTCTCTTCATGTGTGAAGGTGACATACCCATTAACCTATGCAAACAATGCATCCTAAACACAACCCACAGGGTTAGGAAAAAGAAGATCCATGTAACATCCTAATTTTTAAAAAGTTTTAGAAGCTGCTTATTTAATTTATACAAGCTCAACATAATGTATAAAATTTTTGTATATGGCAAATATTGTAAGTATAGATAGATAAAAAAATCTATTTGTGAATGAGGTTGTTTACAAGGTCTGCCAACCTGATAAACACGTTGCAATAGTATCAAACAAACTAGATTTTCTTAAAAATTTTGCAATACAAGGAGTAAACCTAGGTCATCTCACAAGGACATAAGATAAATTATGTTTCTGGTTCCATCATGCGATTTCAGATTAGCTTAGAGAATGATTGTTTTGAATTAAATTGTAAACAACAGAAAAGAAAAGAACAAGGAATAATTATAGCGAAACAAAATATGAAATTCAACCAAATCAAGATCTCAATCACTACAACATGTTACACGAATATAATTCCAACGAATTTCCAATCAACACTAATTCAATACGACATTAATAACCCAAAATCTAAATCTAGATTATGAATTTCATCAAAACAAGAACTGCAATCGCAAATCCAATGCTCTAACAAAATTCAGAACAATTGATTTATTGAATTAGGTGAATTCATTTATTTCAAATCTGAAATTCTCATTCTCTTTTTTAGAATGCAAACAAAAAATCAATATCATGAAAAACGTAATTATCCTAATCAGAAAAGAGGAGGAAAAGCGCGAATTCGATAGAACCTAACCTGAAACTCAAACGCAATGTTGTTCTTGAAACCTTGAACCGATTGATGGATTAGCCTTGCTTCATGATCATGTTTGCTTCGGCCAAAACCAGAAAATATGAAAAGATGGAAGGTAGAGAGACGAAAATAAAGGAAAGAATTTAAAATAAAGACTTGTAATTCTAAAAATATTGCGGGAAAAGAAAAACAAGGATTCGTACATAGAGTCATAACTTCTATTTAAAGATAAAATAATTGGGTTTAATTAAGGCCCAACTCCCTAATGAGTTTCCTAAACACCTAACTAAGTAAAAGACATAATAATTAGGCTTAATTAAGACCCAACTCCCTAACTAAGTAAAATCAACAATACAATCAAATTCTGAAAATTTTAGTGCAGGGCCGCAACATTGTGATGCAATTTTGGACTTGAAGATACTCGAACTGGGCTTTTCTCACAACAGAGAAGTTGTAGATATCTGTCTTATCTTTTCAGGGACACCAATTTTGTCCAATTCCGAGTAGTGTAGCTCCAGATATGTTCTTTGCAAGAAACTGTGTTAAAATAAGAAATTATGGCGGGAATTAAGAAAAATTTATATTTAAATCCTAAATTACTTACTAACACAAATCTAAACTAACACATCAAAATAATGTACTAATGAAGCACAATTAAACCAAAAACATGGAGAGAAAGATGTACTAAAATATGACTATCAAATAC